TGCATGCTAGGCAAGCACTCTACCACTAAGCCACATTCCCATCCATTCTACTGTTTTTATCTGGATACTGTGATGATGGTTTCTCTTATCTCAGCTGCTAGAACTCTCCAGATTCCTATTTGTAAGCAGAAGCAGCCTGGTTGGCTCCTCTATATAGCTTTCTGCCTGAGTCTTTCCTCTCTGCCAGCCAATATTCATCCTGACACAATTCACACTAAGGTAACAAGGTGATCAGCCAGAATATAGTGGCCTGAGGCTTTTCTGAGATCAATGTTTGGTCCAGCAAGAGTATAGTATTCACAAAGGAAGAAATATGACTGCATGCCTTCATACATCAGTAGCAGTTTCTGGGAACCAAAGGCATCTTGGGAATTGTGCTCTTCACTTTTTTTTTTTTTTTTTTTGTCAGTTATGGGGATTGAACTCAGGGCCTGGGCTCTGTCCTGAGCTGCTTTTGCACCCTACCACATGAGCCACTGTGCCACTTCTGAGTTTTTCTGTGGTCAATTGGAGATGAAAGTTTCATGGACTTTCTTACCTAGGCTGGCTTTGAACCATGATCCTCAGATCTCAGCCTGCTGAGTAGCTAGAATTACAGGAAGCATGAGCCACTGGCACCCCACATGGAAAAGGACTTTAGAGCTGGTTTAGATCCTAATCTAAATCAGCCCCTTCACTTACTGAAGAGGAAATTGAGGTCCAGGGGAAAGTTACACAGCTGGCAAGGAACAAATCTGGTTTTGAAAGTGAGACATTAAAGAATTAGTTGTTATGAGCTCAACTAGACAGTATTTCCTTGTCTGAGAAAAAAAGATTTCTTTCTTCCAACCTCTCCCAGCCTCTGCCCTCTGTCTTTGTACAAATTGTGTTCTGCTTGTGTCCCTTGTTAGTGACGGCCTTACCATCAGCAAGCTACAGCCTACCTATCATTCAGACATCAAATTAGCTATCACCTCCTGATAAAACCTCTTGAACTACCACCCTCTCTGAGTCAGGTACCCCTACCTGTAGGATATTTCATGCTATCTCCTGAAGGATTTACCTCTCCCCTCTGAATCCAATCTTCCTGGGCACTGTCCCTGAGCTCTTCAACTCAAGGAGAGAG